TGGATGAAAATTTTCAACAAAACCAACGAGGTGCTCTAAGATCTTTTGGTAGTATGCGGTAGGTAAAGGTGCTTTTGAACATTTCAGCTGTCAGATCTTAACGTTACTGTTACTTCAAGCGAATAATTTCATTCGGCAAAATACTCCCTATGTGAAAACCCCTTGATCAGATATGTTCAAGCTTGGAATATCAATAACATTTAACAGAGTCGTTAATTTATTTCCGCTCAGAAACTGAAAATTCCGAGCCTGATTGTCGGCTTTTTTACCACGCCATTTCATTCGTTTGCTTCCAGATCTGTATAAACTTAAAAGGATTTTTGCGGAGGAAGGATAAATGAAGCGCTATCGAGGTAGATCCTCATAGTATGTTGGGGTATGAACGCTATTAAAAGTCGACACCACTATGTCAATTGTGTGTTGTTATAATTAATCGGAAGTTTACAAACAACAAATAAACTGCCAACATAAATCTAAAACTGATGTCTGAATAATTCACCTCAATTAAAGGCGGAAGCAATATGAGTTCGTGAGTGACAGTCTTTCAATTTATGATTGGTAACACACTCGCAGCTATCAAAATGACCTCGCGGTGTCTCATGCAAGAGAAATGGAAAGCGCTGCAGTATATGGCATTGGGGATTTTTTTTTGTTGTTTTATTTACGCCGTTAAAATGTTGAGAAAATTTTTTCATAACAGGCATTGATAAGAATCTGTAAACAACAAATTTCTCGTTTTGTTTACAAATGCTCTACTAACCGAGCTGAAGTTTAAGTAGCCTGCGTTGCTGGCGGTCTGCGGTTTTGAGTGCAGAGAGAAAAATGAAAAATTTAAGTTTAAGGAGAAATCATTCTGCTATGTATAATATAAATATTGAAAGGTTCTTTAATCCGTAGCCTGATCAGAAAATGATAGGCTTACATAAAAAGAACTGAATATTGGAACAACGATCAGCCAACATCACACTTCGAAGGCATCAAATATTTCTCAAGTACTCTACTCTGTCAAGGGTGGTATATTGAGTACCTTCAGACAAATATTTTATTTTTAAAGAGGAGTATTCCAAGAGTTTGCACAGACGTACATTCAGGTTTGTCAGAACAATAAACCCTTTTCTTTAAAGTTTGGGATGAGCCAAATATCAAAAGCACTTTGTTTCAAGTTACGGTGTCATCAAAAAAATTAACCCCACAGCCCAAGAGAATAGCGAGATTCGCTCTTTGATTTCTTTATATAGTGAATTTAATTAACACGATATTCCAAGTTATATTTAAATCACCGAGAATGGAACATCGACTTCCTGTCGTTAATTACGTAAAAGGAACACCTTCAAAATTTATAGAAGCTTACAGATAAGAAAAGATTAAGATCTTCCTCTGATAATTCTTCCCCATTAGAAAGGCTTTGGAATTCTATAAGTCACATTTTCACCGAAATCCTGCAAGCTTTGAACAGATCTAGAGGATCAAAAAAACAACAAATTTGAAATGCGATAGAGAAAAGATTTGTTTTTATCATTCTTATGCCTTATGGACTCCTTATACTCAGAGGTGCATCACAACTAAACTAAACAATAACCCATCTCTTTTGATGGTAGAGCAATTTTAAGACAACAAAAGCGATAACAAAAAAAAAGCACCCACGCAGTTTCATTAAAATATAACCAAAACATTTAAATTTTCTTCTCTTTGAAAGAGATAAATCTCCAAAAGCGTTGTTGCAAGTTCTATATCAGGTTAAAAAATGAAAAATTCGATGTTCAAAAATAACAATTTTGAAGCCCACGTAAGGATATATATATTGCTCAAAGTGAAATAAGATCTTTTTTCTTAATATTGCCAGTGAATTTCGGGTTGATGTTCAGATTTTTCAGTATATGTGGTTCCAATTTACCCTGAGTCGGGAGTGTAAAGGTACGCAGGAATTAATAGCTCTCTTTTGGCAGGACTCTGAATTTTCAAGCTCTGAGGAGTACTGGAGACCCAGGTTTGTACTTAAATAAGGTACCTAATCAAGATAAATAACGAAGCTCTTAGTACTATGGCTTAAAGCCATGATTAGGACCTAATCACATAAACAAGGAGGAAAATTACGGCGATGTTTAAGTGAAAGAGGGAAAGAGAATTCAAGTTCGCGTCGTTGTTTAAACTTATTATTATTGTTGTTCAGTATCATTATCATCATTCCATTATTTATTTACCTATTTATTTATTCCATTATTTCCTTAAAACAGGAGAATAAGTTCCTTTTTTCCGCAAAAACCGATTGTTTATAAAATAGATGTAACAGTTAGATTTGTTGGTGTGTAAAATGATAATGCCGTCGTTTCAGTTTAAATGAATCTTAAAAATCTATGAGTCAAAGTTTGATGAGGTGGAGAGAGATTGAGTACCTGTGATATATATTGTACGCAACTGTTTGAAAGACTTTTTTAAGGAATTTTTCGATTTGTCAGAAATTTTGCACATCGTTTTTCATAGCCAATCCGCAAGAGCTACAACAACTTGTTCGTTTTTTTATACTAACCTCAACTCATGAAAAAAAAGTCGAAGCACTCATTTTCTAACAAGTAATCAATATGTTCTATATTTATCAAATAGATATTGATAAAATACCAGAATTTCTCCTGTTTTGAAAACATGATATGGTAACCGGGTTTATCAATATGAGGGAATTTTCCCTTCGAAAGGAAAGAAAGAGTGTCATTACATATACATGTACGAATATTGCAATGGTTAAATTCATTATTTTAGAAAGAAAAACACGTCTTGTGAGTAGAACTTGTCGTATTTTTATGTCAGATTTTGAAGTAGCTTTTCTGCGAGCTGAGTTCACGTTCAGGTGATCTTTGCATTCGATGCTCTTACAATATGTCTCAAAATCTTCTTCGATTGAAATATGCAATCAATACAAATCATTCATTTAATGTTCTGAGAACAGTAAATGTCCTTGTGTGGATAAGAGTCTGTCCTCTCTTGTACATAATCTCCTTAGTTCATCCATTTCGTTAACCGTGTATGAATGTAACAGCGTAAGCGTTATCTTCTCAAATTATTTATACAGCTAACACATAGCCAAGCGCGACTTTAGTAAACTGACTGAAAAATCGTGATTATGCGTAAAAGAAACTGGCTTTGAATAAAAGAGTACTGCGAAATTACGTGCAGAATGAAACGCGTGCAAAAGAGGTTTAACTGACAAAGAAAAACCTCAACAAACTTAACAAAAAAAAACACTAACGAGGAAGTATGTGAAAATAGGAGAAATAAAATAAATACGAACTACACAAAACAATAATCGACAAGTGCTTTGGATCTTAATGACATAAATATTTTATTATTGGTATTCATGAACTGAATTCTTTGCACTCAGAGATAAGTCGGTGCTTATAATATTTTAGATAGCAATAGTAAGGGTGGTTCACATAATAGGAATTTTTTTTTTCTGGCCTCCGTCAAAACAGTGCACTTGTTTACTTATTTGAGAGAGTCTGAGTACGAGGCAGCGGGGCTGAAAAGTAGACTGACAAGGAAGATGACAGCAGTGATGCATAAACTTTCCTCGACTCGTTATGTATTAGGGTAATTTAGCATTATCAACTGATCATGAGATGATAACGTATATTAGCAACCATAAAGAGTTCCAAAGCTGACTTTTCGAGCGTTAGCCCTCCGTCTAAGCGATGGATTAGCCTACAACGATGAATTAGGCCACAGCTTGTTCTAACGACTACCGCAAA